GTAGCCGGGGAAGTAGTAGGTGGTGCTCTCGGAGTCATCCGAAATACCGGGAAAAGCGGCTGACTACTTTTGGGGGAAAACCACGTGACGATAACGACGCGACTGCGTGTTATTAGACCCTTGACCTATCCGCAGATTCACGTATTTTGAGATTTACTTTAGAGGACTCACGTATTATACGAACCACCTTTGTGTCCTTAGTGAACGTTGTCTTGGTTAGTCATTTGAGTTAGGTTTGTGTTAGTATTAATTTAGTACTAAACATACCACGACCGATTTTAAAATTTGATTAAAAACTCTGCATTTCACCCATTCAACTTTATATGAATTCTTATGTTGTCCAATCAATCAGTTTTTCAATTTTTGTCTTCCCTTTTGTTTGTTTTGACTACGAAAAATGTATCATTTAACATTATAACTACCAAACGAGTCAACATTCCTGATTTCTTCTTTCTGCAATTATTAAAAAGATGACAGATGTTTCTCTAGGTATTTATTAAAGAAATTGGTTTAGCAATACGTAAACTGAATTATAAATCAATTAAAGTCTCGGTAGATGTACGGTTGGAGTTTCTATAGAGAAATTTCGAAAAGGTAATGTAACTTCTCGGTAGTTTCAGTGTTAATTTGTTTACCTTTATTTTATTACCAGTTGTTTGACCAGTTACGGTAGGAATAGGTGTTATATAAAGTGCCGGTACGTTTAGTGTTAATATTATAATACATTATTAACATTTCATTATTGTTATTATCAATATTATTGCTACTGTTATTAATACTTTATTTGTTAAAAACAAAGGTAGTCCGTGTAATATGCGAATATCTACTTACTTTAGAGATGGAAGGAGATGGCATAATAAATTAAATGTGCTAGGATTTTCTCCAAAACAATTGACATTTTCATTTTTTTGACACCATTACATTTGTTTAGTTTCTGTTCCCACTTAGTCCCGTTCTCATTCTTTGAAGGTACTTTTGTATTTGAGGACGGTGTAAAAAACCATTATTAACCCTTTATACTCCAAAAGTATTTTATTAGAAATATTCAATATTTTCTGAACAAATACAAATAATATGTTTAGAAAGTAACTTAATAAGAAATTATACATAAATTACAGAGTAAAGATTTTCTTTACCCAAATTTCAAATATTGATGCATTATACAAGAATTAATATTAAATATTGAATTTTATAATTTTAAATCAAATACATATGTATTAAATTACATGGATATTGGAGTACAATGCGTTAACATAGTATATACATATTCCTATTTTACATTTCTGTTACAAATTTTCTACTATTTTCAATGTATAGATGAACTAAGCTGAAAGGAGTTGAAAAAGGTAGTCATGTAAACATATACTCCATTTGATTTTGTTCACGGGTTATATTCGTTTTTGTGCTTTCACAGTGCGCAATTTTACTGCAGAATGCAAGAACGGTATTAAAACACTCGTGCTCTTTTTGCGTGAAATGCATAAATAAATACTGCATTAATTTTCTTTGCTACGTCATCCCCTCTCTCGATTTCACTCTGAAATATAGCTTAATTGAAATAAAGTTTTATGTAAATCATTGAGCAAATAAGGTTTTTATTTCGCTTTTTACTTTCTTTGTCATTTCACATTACTAAGGTGACTGAAACTGAAATGTCATTTCAGTAATAATTATGGAATATAGACATTTATTATTTGTTAAAGACGTATTCACTAAATATTACTTTTTACATTAAATTTTCTCTTGCTGTTAACATTATTCTCATTCGCTTTTAAATGAAGACTTCTACACAGTTACTCTTTGTACATATCAAAAATCACATGTCATGAATCTCGAAAATCAGAGAGACCTTAATTAAAAGAAGGTATTAAAATATAGCCAGTTCCAAACAAATCAGTGATACTGACTGAATGTTTTGTTAACATTAAAAATAACTGAATTACAAAAATTTCTATTATTTGAGAGGAAAGTTTGTTGGCCTGTTTATTGATCTGTTTTGTTGAACGATTGTATAATACTCTAAAACTTGCCAAATTGAAAAACATGAATGTTATGACTAGTTTCGAAAAATTACAGAACAATGAAATATATTTATCTCTTTAATTTTTGTCTCAATATATTATAGTACTCGTAATACAATTTCTTTCTAATATGAATCAATATTTTACAAAAAAAATAAAGGAAAAAAACAGATGAATTTATAGCATGTTTCTGAATCAAAGAAATTTTTTACATATCACCTAACTCTAATAAATTCAAAGATATTCCATCGAATTTTTTATCCAAACGTCCCGGGGGACAGTTTAATCCCTTGAATATAGCCAGTTATCGATAAAATATGCACGTGTTAAATACTTCTCAGCGTTTCAACTCCGGGAAAAGTATCTGCACTCGTTCAATCTGGCCATTTAAAATTTGATACGACTGATGATTGATGACACACGCGTGGCAAATGGAAAGTCCGTCACCGGTCACCGGTGACCCTCGAAACAGTCAACGTGTTGCTTCTCTTTATGTTACACGAAAGCGGTGGTTAGGACGAATTCAACGATACACGGCATGGTAATGGTCAAGGTTACACGGGGGCAGAAACAAAAGTCAGTAAGGAGGATCTGGTACACAATGAAAGCGGAGTTCCAACAGGAATCTGCAACCTTAGCCGTTACTCGACTCATCTTCCATATGTTTTAGGAGTATGACCTTGAACATTATAGTCTGTCGAACGAAACGTGGCAGTAAACGGGAACAAAAATGTGCAATAGCTAACTCAGGTGCGACTGAGGAGATGAGCTTCGGGACGACATAGGGATAACAGAGGTTTTCCGCTATGTGTTTTGTTCGTGGTTTTGACTGATTGTGTGTAATTGTATTGACAAGTAGCAAATTAGTTTTCTAACGGATAGCAAATTTCTGAAAATAAGATGAGAAAAGATGAAAGCTGGCCAATGAGATCGGTATTCATTCTAGGACTCTTCTACCGAACAATACACAGTGCGCATCAGCCAATCGTAGTGCTTAGTTCGTGAATGTTTTGTTTATGTTGACTATTTCAGTTGGACAAACTGTAATCTGCCGTACTACACGCCGTGTACTTTCAATTTTAAATTGAGTACTAAAAGGTGTGATCAATTTTGTAATTGTCGCAATTGTGAAATCTGATTGTTTCAGTGCTTAATGAGCTAGGTGTTTAACCCTTTGCAGACCTGTGCAGAGCCAAATGTGACGTTCAATTTTATTTCAATATGTACTTATTTTAACGATTTCTTATATAACTGTTTGGAGTATTGTAATTGCATCATATAAAGGTACCTTCAGACCTATATAATATAAATTTAAAGTTTTAGATTTGATTTCTAAACATTACTGCTTATTCTCTTTTCAAAATAAGAGAATATATGTCCAAAATTTTGTAAATAAAAATTACTAATAACGATCATTCTGTGATTAACAATCTTTGCGAGATTTTATTCATGTTTGTGGCAAAAACTAAGGAACAGTTTAACGAAACATTTTTAGCTGTTAAATTTAAGCTAACTTTAACGAAACATTTTTAAGTTAGCTTAAAATTCAAGAATTTACTTTTTTCCTATAATTGAAAAACTACAAATATAATTCTGCTTCTTTTACAAATATATACATCAATATTTTATTTATAAAAATTTAGTAGAATATAATGTATAATACATCAAGTGATTCTAAAAAAAATCATAGGTTCATATTTAACATTTTGGCGTATTTTGACTAATTTTCTTTTGCTTAAGACAAATTCTTAAATCAAATAATGACGAAAACGAAGAATACTTGTCACTATAAACTTATTATTGCAAAAAATTTATAAACGTAGTTTGTAATTCATAAAAAATGACCCATTTCGCTTACAGATATCTATTAATACAACAAAATAAAAGAAGAACATAAATTTAATCAATGCAAGCACAATTTTCTATAAATAAACACAAGTTTTATTCTTCCAAAAACGATCCATAATAGCGTGTCTTTAAACCGTATGAATCATAAGTTGAAATTTTTCCGGCACTTAACCTTAACCTGAATAGCGGTACGAGTACGATTCAGGGTGTTCTCCACCCAGCGCGGTCCTTCATGCGGCTAAGTTCACACCGGCAGACGAGCAGTAAACAACTCAACCGGCGGGATCTGACATTTAAAATGATCCAGCCATCGGAATTCGATTAATCGACGTGCGATGCATTATCGAAGACCCAACCTGTCGTTCGATGGCGCGCACCGGGTACGTTTATTTAGTTGAGAACAAGCCTGCATGCGACCGTGTAATATTGACACAACGTGAAACGCGGCGCACAACGAACTTTCTGTTCCCGCAAAAGGATGTTCTCGAACCCGGGTATATAAGTAAGAACATCAAATATTTGTCTTTTCCACGCCATCTTGACAGGAGTGGCGTGCTGTTCCAACACCTCGATAGCATCGTAATAACAACTTTATTTTCAATTCGATAATGCCCCATCCCCATTGAATTAGTTCTTCCTATAAAAACGATAAAATTCATTGAAAACAGAGCAACGTCCGGTATAATCGAAAACGTAGGACTTCAACGATATCCGACCGCACCGTTCACCAATTGGTACACGGATCACGGTTACCGGTCTGAACTTGTTACGCTAGCGAATCGATAAAATCGAACCGCGGTTCGTGTCGCTTTCACGGCATATACGAACGCGCGTCTGCCCGAAAAGCTTCAGTAAAAAGTGGCGAGTCACGGCGAGTCGTTCCACGAATTTCTCCGCGTCGACGAAACGAGTTTACATTGCGAAATTAGAATGAAAAATGTATCTCGCATTCGGCCGGGCTAGCGGTCGCAATATACATAAGGAAAACGTAAACAGCGCGTACGACGGCGCCGTTTTTTTTTCATCGTCGTAGAAGCGTGAAATACGCGTGTAAAGAGACGTAGACACGTTCAGGTTGAAGGTCACGAGGAGAGGAGCATTTCGGCCGGTACCCGAGAGATGTTCGCCTACCTGATTGAGTGTCGTCGGGATGATGTCAGGCGTTTGCGGTAACATCTTACTGGAAATCTACAGTCGAGTGGCCCTCGAGTCAAAACGGTCTTGCCGCACACACGATCGGTAGCATAATATCCTGGCGAGTGAACGGGGGAAAACACCTTGACAGACAGGACAACACACAAGGATCGATCACGAACGACTCCTCGGCACTGATCGTTACTCACTGATTGGATCGACTCGACGCACTATTCATTCACCGACCTGATCCCCTGTCGATCGATTAACGCGAACAAAATATCGGTCCGGCGCTCGGCATTTAACACAGATACAATCGATTTTTTCCGCGTAGGCAAGCAACGAGAGGAGAGAACGTATACTCTCACCACGGAGTTGTGCGCGAGACTGACGGATCCGGGCGGTGTAGCTGAACCCGAGCGCGGCCGAGCAACGACGGAAATGGCCGAACACCTATCATCCCCCGAATACGCGCACACCATAGCATTTCTGAAATTTAATCGGTATCGACTACCGACTGTCATGGGGATTATCGCTGCGATTCGTGCCGATTGCTAATGTTAAGCGCGTTCCTTTGTTCACGTGTTTATAAAATAAACTTGTTGACTGGGGATGACGAGTATACTCGGCAGTTTTATTCTACCTTATTTTTCCACTGAGTTTTTGTTTCCTTATTCATTTATCTAGTATTGAATAATGTCATAATGGACGTAAGAAAGTATATTAATCCTTTGCGGTTGTTTAAGTTTATGTACAAGTGAAGTTTTCTTTTCTTACATAAATTATTTTAGTAATGAATATTATAATTCTTTAATTATTATTTATAATATATGGTATCAGTGGTAAGGATTAAATTATAATTGTAATCATTGCAGAATAAATCGTAATTATTCCACATTATTTTTGTCTGTTAGAATATTGGTCGAAAAATCACCTCGTTAGTAGGTTAAGGATTTTCAAGGTCAGTTTTTGCTTTATGTTATCACATAATAAATTACACCTGACCCTCGATTTACGCGGACCTTTTTAACGCGAGCCTCTTTTTTACGCGGTAAATTGGAACACTATTTACGCGGTAGTTTTTACGCGCGATCTCAATTTACGCGATCTGGATTTAGTAACAGCGAATAAAATATACTTTTGTTTTCTGAAATGTTATTATTATTATTTATTTTGTTAAGCTGTGTGAAATAAATATGTATTTCTAAAACTTATACCAGCTTTTCTCTCCAATATTTTGTTTTCTCTTGTACCAACAGGCTTTATTTACGGGATTTTCGTTCATGTAAAACGAATACGCGTGGAACGGATATTCGCGTAAATCGAGGGTCAGGTGTATCAAAGAAAACAAAAATTCTTGTTAATGTTTTGTGAAAATTTATTCAGTTTATTATGTTAGATAATCAAAACAGTTTGTCTGGTTTTTTGTGCGATTACATATTTACTTATGTATATATATATATATATTTATTTATTTATTTATTTATTTATATTTTTTGTATTATTTAAGATCACATATCTTAGAAATACTCATCTCTAAGAAATAATAGGTAACGATTACTTCCTTGTGGTTTTCCTTTGTCCCTTCATTTCCATTGACAAGAAAAATTATATATAATAATTATTAACGTTTGTACAACAGTTTCCCCTTATCAGTACATTTAAATACCTAATTATTTTGTTACCATTTTCACATAATAGAGCTTTGTAATTTTCATGTTACGTCGGATTATAGTGATAACATATCGATTATTTTTGATAATACTTCTTTTTTTCTATTTGTTCTATAATATTATGTATCTGAAAAGTGGTATTCGAAATGCTAGTTAAACAGTTGAGAGTGAAATGAAAAGGATCTTTGGTTAATAATTCAATGATCTGCTGTTAAAGTGTCTCTTAGACGAAAAATAATATTATTTAGTCGACATCGTATTAATGTTATTGGTAATAATAATAAATTCAGCAATAAGTCTCTGTCAGATAAAGAAAATCAGCAAAACAATGATATAGTTCATTGTTTAAGATCTTCAGATAAAAGACAGCGTTGTAAAATACCAAATACGTTGTAGAGTACAAAAGTGTTTGCAAAATAAAATACTTCAGATGCAATATTAAATAATCTCTGTTTGACTCCAAATATGAACAGTTCTACAGATACCCTATATAAAATTAAATTATACAGACACATATTTTGATATAAGCAAACAGTGTACTGTATTGTGAATTACAATTTATAACCTTAAAATTTTACTAAAATATTAAAAATTTGTAACTAATTGGTAATTCGTAAAAGAAAGTTAACCCTTTGCTGTCTTATGTCAATACAAACTCGATAATTCGATTTTATTCCAGTAAACCGAATTACATATTTTATAAATATTTACCATATTTATTTAGAGTATAATGATTCATCCATACGAATATAAATATAATTTTATTACTTTTTCACGTGTTATCAATCAAATTATTAAAGTGACATATTAATCTGTAATGTTCGTACAGAGTAAAATCTTGAAAACACATCGAATCCTAAAGAATTTTCTAATTCAATTTTCTTAGTTTTATGTTACATTCTACAACAAAGTTACAAAAAGTTGACCATATCTATATATTCATTATCATTTTTAAAAACAAAATATAGGAAGAAGAATATATTTTGTTGAGGATAGCACATTGAAAATTGTGTCGAGTATTTGAACAATCGAAGAGATTAAAATGATAATAAAATAATACAAAGCTTCTCAAAGTATAATAAATACCTAAGTAAAGTTAATTTTAAATTGTAATACATTTAGAAAAATATACCAAGCACTTGCCTTAAAACGCACAACTGTGTATGGAGGGATTGATTTATGAGCAATTCTTCCGTTATTAAATGCTTGTCTGTTGCTTTGAAGTTAATTAAATTATGTGCTTTAGAGAATCTAATTAAAATATTAATGAGAAAGCAATCATAAAAGCATGTATCAATAGCGGTTAAGTAACAGAAATACAATAGTGGTGAAATGAGCGAAATTATTATATAAAGTATTGTATAAATTAAAGACTTCTTTATTTAAACCGTATTTCGCTTTATCTGATTAATTCTCGTGCGGAGTTAATACTATGTGCATATATCCGGGAGTCTATTGTCTTCGGCGTACACTTATGGTTACATAATGGATTAGCGTTAGAAGAGGAGACAAATATTTTTGTTGTTACGTGTCACCCCTCTTCGAGTTCACAACAACGGGTAAGTAATTTAAGGAAATGTTTGGAATATGTTTATCAGCATAAAAAAACTAATTAAGCATAACATAATAATTTAACATATTATGAATTCTGCATCTATTTACTTACTTCTAATCTTTTCAATTTAATGGTTATTAGTTGTTAGTAATGAGCACGCGTAAATGCTTACATAATTAAAAAATTGTAATAGTTAAGTATTCGTAAGCTATAATTATAATATTTCTTTCATTTTAACGCATAACCTTTATATCTTCATAATTGCATTAACTAGTGTTGCAACACAAATATTATCTCTATCTTACTAATATCTCGCAAAAATATACAAAGTTTATTAACATTAGAACTATCTCGTATTTGATGCAATTAATATGTAATTCTTATAAAAAATATAACTATCAATTAATTCATTATAACTATCAAGTATTCTATATAATTAACATGTAATTTTTATAAAAATTATAAGAGTACATTTTTTTTCATTTCTGCTTATATTAATAACATTAAACAAGCGAAACTCATTTCTTAACTAATTTTGAATATTTAATGCTTTTATGATGTTATGAATTGCAAAATAAGAAAATTGGAACCAATGTTTCTGACTGTTATTATACATTACTGGAGTGATATTATTAATAATACATAATGATATTATTGGAGTAGTACATAATGAGTAGTTTTAGTATTAACCTCTTGCCTTACGATTTATTTCCCAACTATGATAGGCATAACTACTTTATCATTAATAATTTCTTAAAAAAAAGAGAAAAATCCTAGGCATAATTTATGTTCATATTTACTGTAAAATATAATAATTGACAATAGAAGAATAATATTTTATTCGAATTCACAAGAATTTAGTAACACTTATGCTTGTTAAATTCTGTTTAAAATCTTGATTACGAGTCTGATACCTTATTATAAGGTAAGGGCTTAAGCAAAATACTTACTTTTTCTAGCAAATAGAAGCCTATCGTCGTGAACAATTTATTCTACGAACTACAACTTCATTTAAGGGGAAATATGCCAGTGGCATCGGGAGATCGTTTGTATTCACCTTGTAATGGTTGTCCCGCAAGACGCATAATAGTTGCATCCAAAGAGTCGCCTCGCGAACGACAAATTCCTTTCGCTGGCCACTTCGACCATACTTGGAATTTAAACGCCGCCTCCGCAAGACAAATCATTGAAATTCGCGGAAACCCCGTGGAAAGATCAAATACTCACACTGACATTATATGTGGTTGTGTGAAGTCGACGAATCAGGTAACATGGTGAAACGACTGAGTCTTGAATACGTAAAATGAAGGGAATTGGTTAACACAAGAATTACCGATTAGTCAAATTGAATCCCTTTTATTCTTTTGCAGATATTATAAGTGTATTTATTGAGATTTTCATTAGCTTATCTTTTTGTTTGTACATTGCTAAATCAGGTTATTTAGTTGTTTCTGTGAGAAACATTTGTATCTCCTCAGCGATTGTAACAGAAGAAATCAGGAATAGGTCATTTTGACCTGTCTGGTAGCTTTAGTGTTAAAAATATCGGTTACGTGAACCGGTCCTTTCACGTACCGGAAGTTACCATAGGTTCCCTCGAATTCACTTTGTCTTTAACAGTAGAACTACCGAGCGTTTAATGCAATTAATATGTAATGTTTAACCTTTAAGTATGGAAGCCTGAAAATTACCAATTAATATTAATTATTCTCGTTTGAAGGAACTAATAAACAAATTTATTGTATTTATTTGTTTTTGGCTTTGCTAATAATATAATTATTATATTATTACAATATTGATTGTTATTATGTACATATTGACCTTTACTTAAAGTCCAATTAGCTAGTAAAAAAAAGTAGTTTCAAATAATGATTTAAAAACTGTAATTTGGAACAAATCAACTTTATTGTTTTATAAAAATCAAATTGACAGTGAAAATTTAATAAAAGAATTTGTACTGAATATTATTATTATTTCATGTTACATCTAAGCAACTTATGCTTCTATTATTTTATCTATTATTTTGTGAGAGAGCTTGTGTTGAATATATTGAAAGGATGATGTTCCTGGTGAACCATAGGATCATTAATTTCTCTCTGACACACCTGTTTGTCGTTAACGATAAGAACGGAGATTACATCATCAGGTATGACTCAAAC